GAACGTAGAGTACGAGCCTATATATTATTGGCATAGCAGCCAGTCGAGTTTTGATCCGTGAAATAGAGACTATACATCAGTCTACTATAGTCATATTTACAATATTATTGAACTTAATTAATTGATTAACTTTAAGTATATAATAACGTACCTAATAGTTAAATTATAATAATTCAGTATTGTTCAACTCGTACTCCGCTACTCCTGTTATCTTCAATATACTACCCTTAAGAACAGGGTTACTCAGGTGATAGTGTATTTTATTGGTTATAATATTATAATTACTTTAGTCTTGAATAAAACATTGTATTCGTTGCTATATCGTGTTAATTGTGTTAGTTTATGAACGCAGGTCATAAGTTTCTAGGACCTGTAAAATATAACTCAGAAAACTTTATTTATATCAATTCAACAACCCGGATCTAAGGACCGATTCGTGTAGTGGGAATAGCCAACCAACTACTCCTTAACTGGATAGAGTTAGGTATAAATATCGACAGCCACTGGGTTTGACAAACCGAGGAGGTGTGTTGTACTTTATTCAAGGGTCCAAACTAGTATTCCGTAGCATTACAGGCAATACCGCCGACTATTACAGTCAAATGAATGCTAAAGTCTTCAAAAACTGGTTTATTCAATTATTAAACAATCTAGAAGAGCCATCTGTTTTAGTAATGGATAATGCGTCATATCATTCCACAATGGTAGAAAACCACCTACAAAGTAATCGGAGAAAATCGGACGTACACAAATGGTTGAATGAAAAAAATATTGAATTTCATCCGCTTGAAACTTTACCAGAACTTCATCAAAAAGTAAAATCCTTAGTTAAAAATACTTGCTTGACCAAATTGAATTAGAAAAAGGTCATGAAGTAATACGCCTACCTCCTTATCACTGCCAATACAACACAACTGAACTTATATGGGCCCAAGTTAAGTGTCAATAGACCATATTTCCCGATAACAGCGATTGCAGTGATGAGGAATCAGATATAGAGCAATTTGAATAACTGATATTGATTATAATTGTATCGTATGTTTATAATATGTATAATATGTATTTGTAGACTGTTTTGTAAATGTTATTGACAATTATTAATAAATGTATAATATTAAGTATGGGTATTAATAATGTTTTATTTTTATTGGCTGTGTAAAAATATATTTTATTTGACTGATTTGAATTATTATTACCAATCAATACATTTTATCGAAATAATGTTTTATATTGATCATTTTTTAAACCATTTTCTCTCATGATTCGTATAATTATAAATTAATATATACCATGTGAACAAATACATTTTAAAAAACGTGGCAGTTAGTTTTACATTTATGATGAACATTGATTGGAAATTGCCTCTTAAGTCACGCCAATCACCGGACAGTTTTCGTCTTAATTACAGCGAGCCCATTTCAGACAGTTTCCATTATTGTCACTAGATGGCAGACCCTTCGCTTTTGATCGCGAGGCAGGACTGGATAGCGAAGAATCACTAAAAATACCTTGTTTGTTATCATTGTTAGGTTTGTTGAAAAAATGTGATTATGATAATTAGAATATTATTCTATTCTAATTTGAATTCCAACGTGGACGCATATTAGGTATTTTTTATTATTCATTTTTTATAAATTAATAACAGTTTTATAAGTTTTATTGTCATTCATTGAATTACAATTTAATTCCATCAGTGCAACAATGGTAAGTATAATTTAAATGTATACATTTTATTATACAGTTATTCAATGTTCTTATTTTTATTTTTATTTTTAATATTAAATTGAATTAGATTTATCAATATCAACATTTATTATATTGAAGGTCTAAGTATAAGACATTTTTATACTTACAGTGCCTGTGCCAATTACTCAACTATTATTACATTATGTAATTAGTGTATTATTGTTAACCTACCTGTATTATAACACTTTAATTTCAAATTGTTTTAAGAAAATTTAGGTAGGTACTAAAGTATGTGTTAATATTGGTATTTGTTAATATTATTAAAATTTTAAATAGCTTATTCTAATTAATATATCTACCTATGCATTTACATACAAATTATTTAACTAACTATGTTATTTAAACTTTTGACCGTTTTGTGCGAGATACTTTGGGCATATTTAAATAGTTAACAATATTATATTATACAAACTACACACACGGACACAATACGAAAATAACGTGATCGAATAACGCTCATACGAATACTGATCGAAAAGCGAACGCATATACTCGTATACTGAAATTACTGCCTAATACTTAGATAACTAGATAAGATATCGTATCGCAAAATACTAAAATAAAAATGGAAATTCTTCAATAATACAGAATACGTATATTTATTTGTAAAATAATTAAAATATACACGGAAATTCTACAATATTACATAATTTATGTATTTATTTGTAAAAAAATTTAATTATTCTAAAATATTTAAAAATATTTAAAATAAAATTAGCATCAGATTACTTGAAATTAAATGAAACGTATACATATATCGAAAACTTTCGGATGCTATTATTACATACAAATATTTATTTAAATTAAAATCCTTTCCCTAGTTATTAACATTGTTTTATTTAAACATGTGTAAAGGTAGTATCCCTCAGGGTGCTATGGGTTTGGCGTACCCGTTGCCCCGAGCCCTGAACTAACCTTAACTGGTTGGTTCAGTCTGGTCCTCCAGGTTGGGGTTTTTTAGCAACATACTTTAAACCACAGAGAATGACCATACACAAGGGAGAACTAGAAACTTTTTTAGAGCCATTAAACAGTATCAGCAATTCAACCCTATATGTAATGCAATCAGAGACCAAGACGGACAAATGCTAATGGAGCCAGAGTCAAGAGCTGAGAGTTGGAAAGGATATTTTTAAAAATTACTAAATGGTATGATGCCAGAGCAGCCTGTAATTTATATAGAATATGAAAGAGCGGAGCCATATGTAGAGGATGTTAGTCTAGAAGAAGTAAAAATTGGAAAGCACCGGGTACCGATGATATTCCTGCAGAACTCTTAAAATACGGAGGCGAAGACCTACATGTAGTAATCCACAGACTGTGACAGCTAATATGGATGGAAGAACGAGTACCAGATATCTGGAATGAGGCAATCATCATACCATTACATAAAAAAGGAGACAAGAAAAGTGTGACAATTATAGAGGGATATCGCTCTTGAACTCCGCGTACAAGGTCTTCTCTAGGATATGACTAAATCGTATTACCCCTTATTCGGAGGATTGCCTAAGTGAATACCAATGCTTTTTCTCAAAACCCGCTCAACCACAGAACAATTATACATAATAGGTCAAATAATTGAAAAGAGGTACGAATATCGGCAGAATTTGTGGCAACTATTCATAGATTTTAAAAAGGCCTATGATAGTATCCACAGAGAGAGTCTCTACAATATTATGTATGAGTTTGGTTTCTTAAAAAAGTTAATAGCACTAACTAAAATGTGTATGGAAGGCACGAAATACAGAGTGAAAACACAAAATGTAACATCGGAATCTTTACAGTGGAAACCGGACTAAAACAGGGGGATGCTCTGTCTCCAGTACTTTTCAACCTTGCCCTAGAGAAGGTAGTAAGAATACTACAGGACAATGAAGGTGGTTTATTAATCGGTCAGAATAAGATACGGCGCCTCGGTTTCGCTGACGATTTAGTTATAATAGGTGATTCGCTTGTAGACACAGCTAACGCAGCCAGAGTGTTAGAAGAAGCAGCGAAGAAAATAGGGCTTGAAATAAATACCGAGAAAACAAAGATAATGGAACTAATTGAGAGTGGGGAGGATCCCAGTGAGACGGAGAATTCAGCCAACGAAAAAGTTAGCGATTTTAAATATCTGGGAGTAACTTTAAGTACAAAGAATGATTGGTCAAAGGAAATAAGTATAAGGATAAATAAAGCTCAAAAAACCTTCTACGCACTGACAAAATTCTTTACATCCAAAATCCTATCTAGGAAAACGAAAGAATCACTGTACGTGGCTATTATAAGACCCACTCTCACGTATGGTTGCGAAGCATGGACAACGACCAATCAAACAGAGAGAAACCTGAGGACTTTTGAGCACAGAATAAGGAGGAAAATATGCGGACCTGTCATCGATGAAACAAAGGGAATTGGCGGAGGAGGTACAACAGAGAGCTGTACGATATGTTGGAACTAGCACCGGTAACAAGCTTTATTAAGAGCCAAAGAATACAATGGTTAGATAAATTATATTTATATTTGTTTTTCTCTTAAATTTGCTTTTTATTTGAATCAGATTTTTTTAAACATGGCTTTTTATTATAAGTCGAAATATTCAATTTTAACATTGGATCAAAATCAAAAATGTTCATATTTAGTTATCACCAATATTACTTAATGTATTCAGATATAAAATAAGACTTTTTGCGATAGGCACAATAGTACATCGATTTTTTTTTGGCTATCAGAATGGTTAAATTATAAGGTTCAGCCTCCAAAAGAGACAGTTACTGATATGTTATTAGGTCCAAGAACATATGAACTTAGAGGCGTTGTAAGTTTTAAAAGAGGTCGGACTTCTCTAAGAAATTCGATACGACACTACCACGCGTATGCCAAAAGAGGGAATAAAAATTTGCAGTTATTTGACGACCCAAACAAATAACAGATTCCAATAAATGAATCGAAAACTGTACTTTGTGAGTTTTTAGTTTATACAATATAATTAAAGTTGTGTCACATATTATCAATAATAAAAAGGTGCTCTGCTGTACAGTAGGTTACAAGTGGGTCACTGTATAATGATGGTATTAAATTTAAAATAATATCATTGTATAAGAAAAACGATTCTGAGCGGAGACGGTATGTCAGTCTAGGTATAAGACATATTATTATATACTTTATAAACCCAAGGTTGTGGAGAAAAAAGAATTTGTTTGGCGTGTACCAAAATAGACGAATTAGAAACAGAATAAAATTCAATTGAAATTTGGAAAAAGAAAGGAAGTATGTCGTCATCAAAACCACGTTCTATGAAGTCATACTTAGTGAAACAACCTGGATTTGAACAAATAGATTTCAATCACAGGAAAACATTTAATGAAATAGCCTTACTCAGAAATGGTTCTTGTTTTCAAAACAAACCTATATACGTACCAGGATATGACAAAGTATTGCTGAACAATACTTGTTCAGCAGATTCTTTGTTATCAATTTTAGCGGTGTCTGTTGCAGAAAGCAATAATTATAAAAAGTATTTAACAGAAGGAAAAAATAATAAGATTGTAGCTGATTTTGTAAAAAAAATTATCGGAAACAGACCGTCTAAAGAAATGTACAGAGATCGCGTATATTTGCTTGCACTACATTTTATAACGGAGATCAAAAATCTAATTGGAGGTATAATGCTAGTCAATACAGTAGACATGGCTGCATCGATGTGCGAAAAATTATTGGAAGATATGCCATCGTATATTAGATTAGATACTTGTCAAAATATGTTATGTTTTGATAAAGAAAAAAGTTCGGCAGGAGGGGTTGTCATTACATTTCTTGGCGTCGATGGGACTATTAATTTACAAAAGAAATAGACGATTTTTTCAACCAATTACAAAATTCTGTGTATCAATAAATTGTAATTGCTCAAGAGAAGTGGTTACAAAACCAACCAATCATATAGAAGTGGAACTATTGTCAATACCAAAAGGTAAATAAAAACATCTTAATTATTTTAAAAGCAACGGGGAAGTGGCAAAATATCCTAATACCGTTATTTGTATTTTTTAGTCATTGCTTATTAAAAAAAAAAAAAAATAATAATAATAATAATAATAATAATATTAGGTACGTTAGGGATGTTATATCGAAACATTTTTTTCGATACTTTCACTTGGTATCGAATCGAAAGCTAATATCGATACCAACAAAATATCGAAACAAAATATCGATATTACTGATATCGATAAAAAAAAAAAAAAGAGCAAATAAATAATAATAAATATTAATATTTTATCGTCATTCGTCACTGACCACTGTAGCCTGTAGGTATGGAAAAAAAGAACAATTAGCAAAATCTTGCTTGAATTTAATTAAAAGTCTTTAAAAGTATATCAGTACATGAATTTTTCATTAAAAAAAATGATTCAATCATGAAAACCACTCTTCCTCTGGGAAGTCCCCTAAAAACAGTAGTTTTTCTAGCCTAGAGCTAGATAATCGATTTCTTGCTTGGTTAATAGTAGCACCAGCTTTCGAAAAAAGCCTCTCACAGGGTACTGATGTGGCAACAATTTAGAAATGAATTCTAGCTTGTTTGTACAGCAATGGAAATATGTTCTTCATATCTTCCCATTGTTCTAAGGGATTTGAATTTAAAGGCATCACTGGGTTGGCTAGGTATAGGGACAACTCATCACCTGCATTACCATGGCTTGTTTTTTTCTTTTTATGACCCTGACTTTGGACTAACTCTTTGTGAATGGCCCAAAAGTCATAAGCACTTTCAGGTGGAGCTTCTCCTTCTGACTCACTTGACGAAGTATCGATCCGAGTAAGGTCTCTCAACGCAGACGGTTTGTGTCTGAATCTACGCTTGTATTTTGATTTTTGATTTTAATTTCGTCTTTGTTTTGAATTAGCTGGTTTTTGGTTTCTATGGCTTTCTCGTCTTCTTGTATGGGCCGATTCCGATATTCTCTTATGTAGTTTCCGCATATTTCACAAAACATTACGTTTCCCCCCTCACTCCAATACTCTTCTTTGTCATCATGGTCGTCTAGTACATCCTTGGTTGTGGACAAATATTTTGCCAGTCTTGGCAAAATTGTGAGTACCATATTGTTGATTTGTCAGTTTTAAAATTGTTGCCGGTTTTATTTTTTTCTGTTGTGTTTTGTTGTGATAATTTTAAGCGATCGAAACATTCGTATAAGAAATGGTCTACATATTTTTCTTAAAATCGTCATATCACTCATATCTGAATATCTGATATACAATATCTGATATCAGACAAGTGGTCTATGTTAATAAAGGTAACACCAGATAACACAACTATCACATTTACACGGTGTTAATCAGATTAAGATTATAGTTTCTATTCTGTGGTTAATATAATATCATTAATATAATCTCCATGGAAAAAAATTAGTATCGATACCGGTATATATGTATCGATATGATAAAATATCGAATCAAAAGTATCGATACTAAAAATACTCATATCGAAAGAAAAGTATCGATATTTACTCATATCGGAAAAATCGAAACGTCCCTAGGTACGTACTATTATAGTGATATTAGCTATAATTAGAGCCATTTGATATTTAAAATTAAAAAATAAAATTTGTTTTAACTATTCTGTGCAAAATTGTTATTCTTTAAAAAAACAAAATATTAGACATAATAAAACTGGTAAGTAATTCTAAAGGGGAACACCCCAAAGCTAACACCATAAGCACGAAAAATATTCAAAGAATTATTAAAAAAAAAAAAATTAGTAACTAAATAGAATATTTAAATAATGTACATATTACATTGTAGTTATTTATATGATCATTTTTCATTATTAATAGGTCTTAGAGCTTCCGGTAAATATAGTCATCTTGAAAATACAACGAAAATTTCACAAAATTATGCAGGAAAGGTTTGGTTGAAACTTGAAACTTGGAGATATTAGCAAGACAATAACAATTAATGGAGATGTGTACTATTTAAGGGGGGTAATTGCTTTTGATGGATCGGCAAGAGAATTAAGACAATCATACGGCTATTACATAGCATATGGTTTGAGATCAAATGATCAATGGCAATGCTATGACGATTTAAAGGATCAAGTATCAACAAAATCAAAAAGTTTTAAAGTTAATGCGGAAATTCTATTTTATACAAAATAATACCTATATTGTTAATTTTACATATTTTTCATTTTAAATAAAACAAAGTACCTGCACAACGTAAATGATCCTCTTCTCTGTGATCATATCGATTTTCTTTAATGCATGATTGAAACTATATTATATCCATCATAACTTAAGAAAACATTAAGAATAGCTACCAAATAATGTAAGTATTGCTAATTGCTATGTATTAAATAAACGTTCAATTAATAACATATAATATGTGTTACAATGTAATGAATAATAATATATGTAAACGTACCTACATAATAATGTCGTAATAACCACCAATAATATGATATAGGTAGGCGCCTACCTACATAATATTATATAGTTACAAATAATAATTTCAAGAACTGAACTAACGCAAATACACGAATATTTTAAGAGATTTAAAAAATGTAAAAAAGGTAAGACTGTTTTTGAGATATTATTGATTATGAAGTTTGTACAATATTTAATTTTACGAAGTGAAAAATATTTTTAACATTCTATTATATTTTGTGGTATACTTTATATACTATGGAGTATATTAACATAGATATTAGCTACATAATATTATAACGTAAAAAACATATTATATAATATGATACAAATTTATAAATAAATAATACATTTGTTTTAAAGAATAAAAAGTTTCAAAAAAAATTATTAACAGGGTAAACAATTGAACATGGGTGAGTACTTATTAATGAAAATTGAAAATAATTGACATGCACCATTTAGTCAAAAAGATCGATGAACAAATTTTTTTTCTGGTGGTTACAAATGATTACAAATGATATTACATAATCTCCACTAGGTTTCAAGTACCTACAAGTCGAACTTCTGTAATGGCGGGCTGTAGTGACGTTGCCCGGCCACATGGAAACTTCGTTTTGAGCCGAAGAGGGTGGGTTACAAATTTTTTTTTTTGTCGTTACAAATGATTACAAATGATATTACATAATTTTACATTAATTTCCATTTATAAATCGTAAGTGACGGGGCCAGGGTAACTAACCTACATTATTTGGGTGGTCTACGAAGGAACCAGAAATTGGAGGTCCACTTACGGTTGAAGTTGTTACTCAAGATACTTACGGTAAATGGAAGATACACGAAAATAAAAGACCATTGAAAGGATCAAAGCATATGTTAGTTGGTAAAGAACTTTTAAAAGACTGTGCTAGTAATTGGCAGCGAAATGCAGTATCACATTTGGAGTTTGGTGACGTTATGCCTTCCAATATTTATGATAAAGGTACTTTACGTAAATGTAAACAAGAGTATAAGGATAATATTTTGGGGATAACTAAAAAGGATGCTTTGACCTCACTAATTGAATTGAAACATACATCACTTTTGGGGATTATACATACAATAAGTGCGGATAAGTTTTTTGCACATTTATTGGTCACAACATCAGCTAATTTTTTATAATACATCAAGAAAAAATTAGTATAGTCGTTTATGTATAGATGCTACTGGCAGTATAATAAAAAAGTTGCATCGTTCTTCAATGAATTTATTATCAAGCCACATATTTTTGTATGAAGCTGTTCTCAACAACAGCTACTGCAAACTTCCAGTAACTCAAATGGTGAGTGAAAACCAAGACAAATTGTAGGGTTTTAAGTATTAACTTTTGGTTAGGACAATGGATACGCGATGAACCATTGATACCTCATGAAGTAGTATCTGATTACTATAAAGCAATTTTAGGAGCAATGTCTCGAGCATTTTGAACGGAATTTCCCTCCATGAGTATAATGAACGTTGTTTTAAAATAATTAATAATAATTGTTGTAACATTGATTTACTTCAATGTTATATTCGAATTTACATTTCTCATTTAATTAAAATAGTTTGCCGTTAGAAGTGTGTTTTAGAAAAACATAAATATAGATTAAAAGAATTTTATGTTCGCTACGTTCGCCTATTTTTTTTTTCTTGCATATGGCGTAGGTTTATTGGTGAAAAACAAAATTAAATAAACATAAAATAAAACTAAATAAACATTAAATTATCAAAGTAACGAGGACTAGAGTAGGTAGATTTACAATAAACTAATAAATAATTTTAACAATAACAAAGATAATAATAATAAGAGCTCATAATATATTTAAAGGCGAACATTGGTCTTAGACAGCCAATCCATTGCTTCGTCATCGCCCATGTGAAGTCCCTCTATTCCTCTCTTGTATCTAGTTTGGGGACATTCCTCCACAATGTGTTTGATGGATTGTATTTGCCCGCAGTCGCATAAGGGAGAGTTTTTTAACTTCCATTTATGTAGGAGGTAGTTACAATTACCCTGCTCCGCTCATATCCTGTTTAGATTGGTCCATAAGGCTCTCGGGTAGTCAAATCCTGGGACTCTTTGGTTTGGGTCGCTTATCAGATGTCTATTTTTTGCATTACCTTTTTCCCATTGTTGTTTCCACATATCCTCCATGGTATCAAAACTATTTTCTTTTGACCAGATTGGGTTTCTTGATCTTAATCTTTTAGATGGTGCGCAATTTATGTCGGTATATACAGGGAGATTCACTAATTTATTGATTTTCTGTAACAGTTTGACAGTTGAGAGATGCCTTCGGATCTCCGGGGGAGCTACGTTCGAGAGGACTGGAAGCCACTGTAGGTTGGTAGCCCGGACACAGCCTGTGATGATTCGCATAGTATTATTCAACTGGGTGTCAACCTTTTTTGTATGTACACTTCTCTCCCAAACGGGGGCGCAGTATTCCGCGACACTGTATACCAAGGCTAGGGCCGATATGCGTAGTACATTTGCTCGGCAGCCCCAGCTTGTTCCGGCAAGTTTACTAATAATATTATTCCTTGTTTTAAGTTTATTTTTTACATCTTCGAGGTGTTGGTTGTAGGTTAACGTTCTGTCCAGTTTGATCCCAAGATATTTTGAAGCATCGTCATTCATTAGTTTGGTTCCCTGAACTGTCAAGTTGAGTTTTCTGTTAGCATCTCTGTTGCTCAAGTGGAACGCTATCGATGTGGTTTTATTGGGGTTAAGAGTGAGGAACCAGGATTTGAAGTACTTCTGTACTTTTACTAGGTCTTTGTTTAAGATATCCTCAACCTTCTCAAATGATTCAGCTTGAGCTGCTAACCCCACGTCATCCGCATATATGAATTTGCGTGATTAGGTATTTGTGATATCCGCTGTGTAGGCATTAAACAGAATGGGGGAGAGTACTGAGCCCTGAGGAAGACCATTTTGGAGGAATTTGTATTTGCTTACCTTTCCATTTAGGTGCACTCTAAATTTTCTGTCTGACAATATATTGTCAATTAGTCGCAATGATGTTTTACATCTTAGAATTTTGGCTAACTTCAAAAGTAAACCACGTATAAACACCGTATCGTAGGCGCAAGACAGGTCTAGGAAAACAGCTCCCATTTTTAGTTTCTTTTGAAACCCGTTTTCTATAAACGTCGTCAGTGATAGTACTTGTTCACTGCAGCTTCTTCCCTGTCTGAATCCCGCCTGTTCTACTGGCAGGTGTTCTTCGATTTTCGTTTGGATTCTTACTAGGAGTACTCTTTCAAACAACTTGTAGACAACGGATAACAGTGAGATCGGTCTATTGATTGGATCAGAAACGATGAAAGAATTTTAAGGTATCTTAATCAATATTTTAACTGTAGCAATGAGTGAAACCGAAGGTGTTTTTAAAACTAATAATGGAATAGACGAAAATCCTTCTGAAGTATCTCGAAAAACTCTATTGGATCAAATAAAAGGAGCAGATTGCATAATTGTAAGTAATATTATCCAGTCAAATGAGTTCAATGATGATACAGATAACTGTAAAATATTAGATGATGAAACTAGTGACAATGACATAAACTCATCAATTAATATTTTTTACAAAAAATTGAAGATGTGTGTGCAAGAAATGCATCAGTGACTGGAGATAGAATAAAGTCCATATTATATGCCAGGAATCAAAAAAATATTTTGAGAATTGCCAAGGAATTTCCAATGTAGTCTAATATAATGAAAAGTTATTTTAAATTAACATGTGAAAATGCAACTTCTGCACCTGCTAAAGGTGATTTCAACGAATTATAAATAGAAAATTAATGCATGAATCGAAACCATTGAAAGTTGATAGGTTTATCGTGATACATATAAACAGCATTGAGAATTCATTGAAAATAGCTCGGAGTAATCAAACGTTACAGAAAGTTTCTACATATATCGATCAAGAAAAATCAGGTTTGTACAAATTTATTTTAATTTATCATATAGAGTTATACCATAAAATGAAATACCAGTTATTTTTTTACCAATAAATTCAACCTATTTGACATTCATGAACTTAGTGGTAATTATGTTACAGAATTCAATTGAACTTATACAACAATTTTGTAGGACGTTTGTGGATATATGTTGGAAAGTATTTTCAATTTGCTGGACAGTCGTAAAAAAGTTATGAGCAATTTTCCATAATCACCGCTAAGTTCACATCAACGGCCACCAATAAATCAAACATCAAAAACTAACCAACATGTTGACAACATACCGATACTGAAAAAAACACTAGGTGAAAACTGTAACTTCGTATCATCACAAATGACGCGGCTACGGCGGTGTTGAATAGATGTCCGCGGTGGGCCGGTCGCTGAAGTGGCGGTTGTGTGAAAGGTAACGGTAGGTGTCACGATATTTCGGACAAGAACACAACACAACACGTTATTCGTAATGGAAGTTATAGTTTATTTTGATGAAAACGGTATTACACGTATAACGTAAATGTACGGATTCAATTATTATAATTTAACTTCAGACGGCGATTTTGGGTGACTTGATCACGGGTGTAGTCGGTACGACGGTGTTCGAACGAGAGAGAGAATTTTCGGCGGCCGGTACTCGTATTGCGCGACTTGCCTTCCCGTCCCGCCTTTTGCCTTTGTGGCGTGGTGGGAGAGTTGGCAATGTCGCGCTGTAGCCCGTGGTGGCGGTTGACAGAAACGTAGACCGGCCGCTGCGGTACCTGTACTTTGTACTGGTTGCAGCTGCGTACCGTGTCATACTCCTCTGCCAAACCGCCACACGGGGTACACTTGTACCGGTGTCGGTGTGTCGTTACGGGTCGGGGTGGCTTGTACTACCTCTGGCTTTCGCTTGAGGTAGACTCGCCCGAGCCCGTGGGTTGTTCTAGTCCCGTTCTGGGGACCCTATCGGAGTATAGTACGCCGGGTCGTACGCTATCTCCTCTAGCCCCTCGTACGCCGCGTACCAATCGGCCTCGGTTATGTCGTCCGTGGTCGGTGGTTGGCGTGGCGGCGTGTGGCTGGTTGACTGTTCCGGCTCCTCGTCCTTTTCGTCCTTGGGTGCCGATTTGTCTACCTCCATCGGTTCCGACGGTGTTGGGCCGGTAGGAGGTGCGTTGGCTGCTTCGGGGTCTGAGGTTAGCGCAGGTCGCTTGGCAAGCCGACGCTGTTGGCTTGCCTTCCTCTTTTCCTTCAGCTGTTGGAACTTCCGGCGGTTCCGCGCCTGCTGAACCTCCGTCCTCACCCTTACCGCCGGGCCTAGGGGTACCCCCGTTGGCCTGGGTACCGGTGTCGGCTCCGCAGGTTTCACGGGGGCAGGTGTTGTGGGGGCAGGTGTCGTTGTCGTTGGTGGTGGCCTCGTCAGCGACGAGGTGCGGCTGCTGGATGTCGAGGTCGTTCCGCGCGGACGCAGCCTCCGCTCGATGTCCGCTGGTAGATGGCCGCCCGCACTGGGTCCTAGAGGAGCTGGCGGGTCGACATCCTTCCGATCTGGGCGGCGGTACGCGGCTCGTCCTGACCCCCGGACACCAGCCCCAGCTGCTGGATCAGTGTGGCCACGTGATGCCACTTCTCCTGCTGCTGTTGATCGGCCATATTGTCTGTAAATGGTGGTTAGTACAGACAAATGTTTATTTACTTTGACCTGTGGGCAGTGGCGTATTTAGAGATTTGATGCCCTGGGTACATATAATTTGTTGCCCCCAACATTTTAACTTTTATTTACCTTTGTTTTATGATCATTAAAAAATAACAACATAATCATACATAGAAGTTTTGAACATTATATAATATGAAGCATAATATAAATTGAAACATTTAATTAAACAAAAAAAAACATTAACATTTATATTTTACGATGAGCAAAATCTTCAGATGACCTCATTATAACTAATTGATTTAGTTATCTCACATTCTATATTTAAAATTGCCAAATTGTTTAAACGGTTGTCATTCATTGAAGATCTCAAGTATGATTTCACTCTTTTCAGAACACTAAATGACCGTTCAGCTGAAGTATTAGAAACCGGACAGCATAAATACATACGTAATGCAATATCTACATATGGGTAGACATCTGCTATATTGTGATCTTCAATGATTTTGCACAACTCTAAAATAGATTTTGGTGATACATTTCTTGGAAAACTTTTTAAGTATCCATGAAAATGAATACACTCATTTATAAATGATCCATCGAGATCTTCAGGATACTGACTCTGTAATTTGGTAGCTTTCTTTCTCACTTCAGTTACTGGTAAATCAATAATGTTTGAAAAAAATAATAACATAGTATTAATATCATCATAACAGTTTTTACGCTTCCTTAACTATGAAAGTAATGAATCTATTATGACAAAATATGTGTTTATTTTAAATAATTCTCTAGCTTCAGATGATGTGTCGCCTTGTCATGATTCATCGTATGGTACTTTTCTTTTCTTCTTCCTGACAACTTTATAATCTTTAATTTCAGATTTTTCCATAGCTAGTTTTTCAAAGTGTGAAAAAGTATTTCTTAAATCTGTTATATAATGAATTAAAGATGTGTATAGGTTTATAACAATTGTCAGATCAATTTCAATAGTCTGTAATTTTTTGCTTGTACTGTTAAACCTCTCTAAAATATCATTCCAAAATGACACGAGAATACACATTTCCAAGCTATTCGTTTTTTTTATTAATCCAGTTGATTCACATTTTGTCTTACAATTTTCCATTGGATTTTCAACAAAACTGTTCAATGCTTTAAGAAGTTCTGTCCAGTTTTGAGAAAGACTTGAACAAGCTTCGTGTCTAGCTACCCATCTAGTACCAGACAATCTTTTTAATGTTTTATTCTTGGAATTAGTCAGGTAGTCACTCAATATTTTCCAACGATATGTAGATGCAGAAAAAAATGTGTATAAAGCTTGAAGAAAATTGAAAAATTCAGTACCAACTGTACAGCAATTAGCAGCGTACTCTGCTACTAAGTTTAATGAATGTGCTGCACATGGGACAAAAATAGCATAAGGACATGCCCCTTTTATTCTATCTTGAAGTCCAGAATACACACCTGACATGTTTGATGCATTGTCATATGACTGCCCTCGACAATTCTTAATATCTAGTTCATTTTCACCAATCACCATAAATATTGCATCTGCCAAATCTTCAGATTTGTGTCCAGAGTTAGCAATAAATTGTAAGAATCTCTCTACAGGTTCACCATTAGTTTTCACATATCTAAATATGCATGCAAGTTGGTCCGTGTGTGAAATATCAGGGGTTGAATCAACCACAATTGAAAAATACTTGGCGTTTTTTATTTCATTAATAATAGTGTTTTTAACTTTCTCACCCATCATTTCTATAAACTTTTCATACACAGAAAAAGATAGATAAGAAGTACTTCCTTTACCCTTATTTCCAAATTTTGAAATATGATTAGCTAGAAAAGGATCAAACTCTGCTATTAGTTCCAAACACATGATGAAATTGCCACTATGAGTTGATCCAAATTTATCATTATGACCTCTAAATGATAGTCCTCTACAACTTAATGATTTCACCACAGCTACTATTCTGGTTAGAACTTCTTTCCAGTATTTAATTTCGGTCTCGACTTGTAAAATAAGTTGAATATCAATACGTCCTAGTTTATTTCCTCTATATTTCATTTTCATAACACAATTTTTATGGTTAATTGAATTTTCGTGCTGTCTTAATTTTTCTCCACATTTTTCCCAGTTGCAAAATCCAAAATTGGCAAAAGTGTTGACAGAATTGGTATCATTGAATAGTCGACACGGTGCACAATATATTTTCCCTGTGCTATTAGAATATAATTACGATTTACTTCTTTTCGGTTTATAAGTTTAGTTTTGATAAAATTTTGGTGGAAGCTTCTGTAGTATGATTTTTTTGTGCCACGAATTACTTTTGTACATAACCTTTTAGACAAAGAAAAGTTGGTATCTTTTAAATTTTGATCAAAACCATTGAGTGTTATATAGTCTCTAGTATTTTCATTTAAATCAAACAAAGCAGGATCTTTACTATATAAAAAAAAAAATAGATGGTTAATAACCTCATAAGAAGCTAAAAAAAAAAACTTTAACTTACTTGGGAAATCAGCACCAACCTTGAGTTATACAATATGAATTTTGATATATTTTATTGATTACTGAATACTAATGACATAAATTAATGAAAGTAAATATCAAAAGTATAACATACTTGACGTCTTTTCTAGGCTGTTCAACACGTTATTGCCGTTATTAGCCTTAAAATAAGAATTTATGTAAGGAACTTTCGCCATAACATTTGCAATTTCAATTTTTTTATTTTTCACTTTCTTGCGATTACTAGAACCACTAGGCTGCGTTCTCGTTCTACTGGTTTTAACCATCTGAATACCATAAAAAATTTAACGAAATTAAAAGCAAGAAGCATTAAGCATTTAATAATTATATTTTACAAATTATATTATATATTACCTCAAAAAAACTACTTCGGAGAAGTAAAAAAGGCTTTCTGTGCGTAAGTTGAAGAGATTGGGAGAAAAGATAGAACTTTGGTGTTAATAAAGATGTGAAATCAATCTCAAAGTTCTGTGCCAAAAAGGGCCACGGTTGAAAAAATAGAATTTGTGGCTTAATAAAGAAGTGAAATCAATACCCAAATTAAGTGCCTCAACTTGAAAAAATATCTTATTCAAAACAATTTCAAGATGTTCAACTGTAAAAACATTAAGAAAAAAAATATTAGCACAGAACGGCGTGAATTACAGTTTGTCAACAAAAATTCGAATCAAACAGATTAACTCGTAAACAAGTCGACAATTTATGGCTAATTTTATTAATTCATCATTATTGTACGCCGTTCTGTGCTAATATTTTTTTTTAATGTTTGTACAGTTGAACATCTCGAAATTTTTTTGAATAAGATATTTTTTCAAGTTGAGGCGCTTAATTTGGGTATTGATTTCACTTCTTTATTAAGCCACAAATTCTATTTTTTCAACCGTGGCCCTTTTTGGCACAGAACTTTGAGATTGATTTCACATCTTTATTAACACCAAAGTTCTATCTTTTCTCCCAATCTCTTCAACTTACGCACAGAAAGCCTTTTTTACTTCTCCGAAGTAGTTTTTTTGAGGATTTCAATTATTTTTCCGAAGCACGTTTTACTGTGATATACTGAGGATTATATATATTATATTTATGTATTACATTTTTTCTAATCATTATTTTTATTTGTGAATATTAATTCTATAAAAATGTTATTATTACGGCATTGATTATATCAGAGTGCTGAACATTACGACCCTTGGCCGTAAAAGTTTGTAAAAATTATTTATTATAAATGAGTTTTCTTTAACTGTACAATATTTGGATTCCACATAAATGTAAATTTTCATATACCTATTATACACTTATTTTTCTATATCAGGTAAAAATGTTTAAGATTATTTAATATTTCAATAATTTAAAAGTATATATGAAACGGTTGTATATAACGGTTGCAAGTTTTTTTGCCCTACTTTTGTTTATTGTGTTCTTAGTTTAAAACTAATACCAATGCACGTTGAGGGCTTATTATGATTGTTTTATACCACATTTCATGCATTTCATGCATTACAAAAATTATATAATGTATATTGTTGACAAAGTATATATTTATAGAAGAGCACGTTTGCGTATTCTACAGCCATGCATAATTATGCTGTAAAGACTTCAAAAAGCGTTTAACCATAAAGTGCTCTCAAAAGTGAATCAAACTCGTGTATTTTACCAAAAAATAAAAATAAAATCAACATTAAAATACGATTAGTTCTTAGATTTGTATTGATTTTTAGCAACCAACGATTTTTAAACAATATATATATAGTTCATATGTTCTACAAAATGATTTATATGTGCAAAACTTTATAATATGTAACTGTTAAAAAAAAAAGATATTAAGACAATGTAATTATTTTGCTTCGAATACTAAAATGTGGGCGTTTTTGGAATTCTGTGGCCACTTTTGTATTTTCGTGATTTGGTTTTTTATTTGTACCCAGTTGGTTTTGTTCTCCCTGATCATTATGCTGTATCTGCCAGATTTAAGATTATTCTCGTAGAAAATGCAGCTGTGTAGCTTATAGGAGCGATTGTGAATTTTCAGTACCGACGTTGGCAAAGCCTTTATTTTGTAATTACAGAATATATAATCCCCAGGATTGCTGTTGTAGGAGTTTTCCAACTGTAATTGAATAATCAAAACTTTGTTGGTAATTTTTGGATCAACCTGAACATTATGAGTTGTATCTTTGTTACAACTTAAACATGTAGTCCAGGTTTTTTTAATTGAACGTTCGAAATCCATAAGTGTTTTTAACTCATACGTTATTTTCGAATCATTTTTTATGGGTACTCGCATAATATTTGATTGAAATTCTTGGACATTTTTACAAGAACATACAATGCAAGTTTTAATATAAACACCCTTAAACGAAACGATATCATTAATTTGATTACTTTTATTCAAAATTGATTGTAAGAAATTGGGTATTGTTATGTTATTATTTGTTGCAAACGTATACTCATGTCCAGCGAAAAGCATAAATTCTCGCAAATCTTGCAGTCTGTTTGCCCAGTAATTATTGATCATCACGTTCAAGATATGATCTGGTGGAAGTTTTTTTATTTGATTCCTCAATGTTGTATTTGATAACAGTAAGAGGAATGTAACCGCTGCAAATGAGTTGTAACCGTCTTCTGGGAACCTTCTGAGATTGGATATGTTATTTGCTGGATCATTATTCTGTTGAACTTCTAAAACTTCTCTTGGAATAGCCCAAACCTGTTCAACATGGTTATGATCACGGCAACCCGTGATGGGAAGACAATAACCTACCAAGTCGGGTCTAAATTTTTGTCTCAAGAAGTTGTATTGCAAGATTGCTAGTGTATCTGCAACAACTTTAAAAGTATCATAATTTATTAGGTGTGGGCCATTCAGAGAAGTGACTCTAGATAGGGCTACATATATTTGTCCCTTTGCAAAATTGTGCACCCCTGCGTCAATGACTACAGTCTTTAAGCTAATACCTTGACTTTTGTGTACGGTTATAGCATAGCTCAAGACCAAAGGAAACTGCTCTCTATTTACGTAAACGCCAGTTGATATTTCAAAAGTGACCCTTATCCGTTCAATCCCATGGATTTCTCCACTCAATAATCTAACATTGACTTTTTCAACCTCACCGGTTACAGATCTTGTAATTGAGTCTACTACACATAGAGTTCCATTAACTAATCCAAGTGAAGTATCAATATTACGTCGGATCATGACTTTTGCATTTTTTTTTATCGTGATTTTCTTGGGCAAACCAGCCGTGACAGACGAGTCTTCATTTTTTTCTAATTTCTTTTTAGCATATTGCAGTTGTTGTGGGTTCTTAGCGTCTATTTTATCATTGGCGTGTAGTGTGATGTCCGGTTCGTTATTTCTGGCTAACATAGCCTCGTTCAACGTATCGCACATATCATTTGTAGGCATTATGCAAACAGCATCACTAAGAGCTTTCACATAATCACAAAGATTGTATAATCTTTCACCTGGATTATGGAAATTCAAATTAATCACGCGTGTTTTTAAAATGTTCGTATCAGTATCACTCACAGTGCCTACTCGCAAATTGGCAAGAATTGTTTTGTAAGTGTCATCATCTTTTTGACGCATATTTATTCGTAATTCATCGTAATCCAGTAGAGACCACAAATGTACTGGAGCAACGGACTGTACACATTTATTTAAAGTTTCGGTTGGAACAGGCACGAAAACGGGACCATCACTGACAGGTGGCAGTTGCAGTAAATCGCCAAAAACCAACAAATGCATTTTTCCGAACCAGCCATCTTCGTCGTCAAATGTATTGAATATTTCAACTAATCTCAAGTGCATGTACAAAAAATTGACATTTGAGACCATAGATATTTCATCGACAATCACCAAAACTACATTTTTAAGGGCTTTTCTAATTGTGTCTAGCGCTGTATCAGAAAGTGTAGAGTATTTAGGCGTGCCTCTTTTATGTTCAACGGGTAGTTGCAACAATCGGTGCATGGTTAAACCTCCTACATTAAAAGCAGCTATGCCCGTTGGGGCCAGAATGGCGACATCTTTTTTGAGTTCCTGACGAATAGCTTGAACTAAACATTTTATGACGTAACTTTTTCCCGTGCCAGCTTCGCCAGTAATGAACTTTCTGCATATTTTGTTACCATCCTTGACTAATTGGAAGACTGAATCGAAGACCCTTCGTTGATCCTCATTCATGGATTCTACTCCTTTTTGCCAGTCAAAATTATCTTCTTCTTCCTGTTTTTTGTATCCCTGAAAATCATCCACGGCATTCTCGACTTCTTCGGGCACACAACCTAAATCCTCAATAATGTCGTTATTTTTTTCTTGTGGGTTTTTCTGTTGCTGTTCTTCATCTTCAATATTTTGAGCCATTTGTTCCAGCATTATCTCTCGGTTAGTTATTTTTTCGAAATACGAAACCGCATCAGGTAAATCACCTTTTTTTATCATGAAGGAAGCCTGATACGTCTCACAACCATTTAAAAGTTCGTCAGTCGCCCTCCATGGCTGTTTCAACAATAGTAAAGAATAATAAAAGTTCTCCGGCTGTATTTTTACTTTGAAGATGTAATGACTGATAACGTATGGTTTTGCTCGCTTAACTAAATATTTTGTTACAGTTTTATTAGCGAAACTACTTTTAATTTCATGAAATTCTCTGGTTTCTCTTTTGGGTTTTTCAGGTTTCAATTCGTACCACTGTGTGAATTCATATAGGCACATGTCGGTTAACGCGATCGGTCTATTGGGATAAATATCATCAATAAATGATCTGTAAAATACGTCTTCCGATCCTTTTTGAAGTTTTTGTATTTGATTTATCGGAAGAACTCTTTTATTCCATATCATAAAAACATTAAGCCACTTTATAACTGTGTCATTATCAGTGCCGTATAACGAATTCATCAAGCATACATCTGCTGCTTCAATTACACCACATTCTCGGTTGTAGAGCGTTCTCATAGCAAAGCTCCACAGCTTTTTGGTAAGACTCTCATTAGTAAGAGCACGTTCCAAAATATTCTGTTCCAGTGCTTTCTCACTTTTTAAGATATATTTGAGGATATAAGTAACCAATGCCGTCGAATGATCGCCCACAAATTGAATATCCATGTTTCCATTCCACAACATAATAAGTATGGGAACGTAATCATTATTATTTGATTCAGTCGGTTTGCGTGGCAGATCATAAAGCCTAGTTTTTGTTTTTAAGTTTCGTCTGCCAACAATAGAAGTTTGAACGTTTCTCAAAACAAACTCTTCCGTAACTGGCCTGTCGAACCCAAAACGACAAACTTTCATGAAACCCCTTTCAGTTTTCTTGTTTCTCATACAGTATGAATTGTGCTTATGGCGTTGAAATCGTGTAACGCGGTCGTAAAGCGTGGGTGATGCATTTTTATCAGGTAATGCACATGAGGCTACCCTCATAATAAACTGGGCTATTTCTTCCTCAGATGAAGCACCGAGCATGGGAGCACCTTCAATCCAAACTAGCATATGGAAATGACACATTCCTCTCTGTTGATATTCACGTCTCCAAAAGTGGTGTAAACACTTTTCACCGAGCGGATTATCATCAGAATAAATACACTTCAATATGGCCTCGAACTGATTATCCAAATACCTAGTGACTGATACTGGATCTAAAGCGAGTATCTCATTGACGTTCATTTTTGACGTATTAATATCAAGGTTGATATCTCTAATGTATTGAATCAGTTCTGGGTCATTCCACTCGCCAGGACTGAAGGTAACGAACCAAGTAGCTGGTCCATATTCTTTAATCATGGCGTTCAAATCACACGTAGGTTTTTTCCAATATTCTTTGGTATTTCTCACTCTGCTAAAGACGTTGTTCATCTGATTTTCTCCATCATCAAAATCTCCGTTTGCTACCTTTTGAAGATAGATTTATTTTGTAAACTTTTGGTTACCTTTAGTTAAGTTTAGCGTCTGATAAACTCCACCATTTACTTGACGCATGGTAGCGTTATTCATCATATGAAACAGATGCTGTGAATTTCTTCTATATCTCGGGTGTTTAGATGTAACTCTCGCTTTTATGTAATCGCAATCACGAATAGATTGGGATCTGTCTTCGTGTATTCCATTTTCACCTTTCGGATAAATATCTGGAAAACACAACATATCCAATTTTTTTTCATACCAAGGCATAGGAGTATCGTGAACTTTCTTTTGTTGATACAATTTGGTGGCCGAATCCATGGTACGACTTGATTGAATCGGAAATACCGTGTATTGTTCATACATGGTGTCCGATTGGCTTGCACATGTTAGAATAGCATTATCATGGGTAGTTTGCTCACCTGTGTCGTTCGGCGCACGATCTAGGTTGTTACTTGGCTTGCTTGTGACATCTTCACTTTTTTGTTCAGCATTGTTTTTATCTTGGAACTCGGTTTGCGGCATGTGTTCCAGAATTTGTGCGATTCCATCCGAAGACTCTGGGAGTTCAATCAAAGAATATAAAGGATTATTGTTTTTATACCATAACAACGCTTTCCATACCTTGTGAACGTCTACCAGATTTTGCCAAATGTATTTCGAACCATTTGGGATTGATCTGACTAGAATGTACAACTCGTGATTGAGATTTAAAACATCCGTTTCCTTACATAACTTCTTGAAAGTTTGTTCAATAGGTAGTGGCAAGTGATAAGCTGTTCCAGAAGCTTTCTTCATTTGTTCCTTGAATGGTAAATTTTTATTTATTACGGTTTTGGTAGACGTAATTTTTTGGAAACATTTTGCACGCTGCACCAGCAATTTTTCGTACTCATTTAACCCTTTAACGGGCAAACCTAATTTTCAAATACGACAAATAAGACAACTATGGCTTCCATATCAGCCACCATTGAAGAGACCCGTATGATCAAAATTATTTTTGTTAATTATAGTTTAACGGAACTGTGGCATAGATAGTAGCCACTTTATTATCAATATAAAAACCGCCATAAAAATAAATCAATTTTTGTTTTGCTTATCAATTACGATAGAATGATAACATAATAACATGTGTTCAACAATTATTTAATATTATAATGGTGATAACTGTATTGATAATCATTATTGTCAAAAGTGGCTTGTGTACAAGCCACTAATCGTCAAAACTTGTTAACATTTCAAATTTTAAAATTATTTTACGAAATTAGTGTGACTACCATTTACTACAACGTATAATCAATCAAGTAAGTACATATTATAATTCTTTATACAATTTGACATAGGTTATATATCATAAATTATCGATATCAATGGTTTTATAGTATTTTTACATTCGATAAAAGTATAAAAAAAAATATTTTTTAAAAAAATTTTATTTTAGATTGTTGAGTATTATATTATAAATTAAAATTATATTAGTAATTTATACACCATTGGACTCGTTACAATCTATTGTTTTTAATGGTATAATATTTTCCGAGGTTAATATTTGCGCAAAGAAGATATAGTGCAAATAGTTGACATTTATTGATAACAAAAATGTAGTTATACACATATTTTTTTTTATTATATTAGTTGTATTTTATATAGGTAATTATTTTTTGTTGTAGCTTCTGAATAAAAATGCCACATGTGTCACAAATTGACATTTTGGAAATATTAAATGGTATTTCAGACCAGCAGGCATTTGATTCAGACTTTGGAGGCGACCGTGATGCCGAAGATGTGCTTTGTGTTTCAAGTGCAAGTAATACACCAACTAGTACAACCAGAGGTAGTAAAAGAAAAAATGCATTTAATGGTGGTCCTTCTACAAGCCCTCTCTCATCTTCCTCATGTAATATTAATTCACATGATGACTCTAATTTATCAACCATTTCTTCAGAAGTGCCTAAATTATCAAGACTTAGATCCAGGAAATTAAAATCTGCAATTAATAGCAATGCCCTAAAAAGCTCATCTGGCTCTGAAGTTGATGACAGTGATTTTGATCCTTCATATGAACCGATTCCACATATAGATACAAATGATAATATATTAGCAGAAAATAGTGACAATGAAAATAATATGTTAAATATATCTGAACCATTAAATATAGAAAATATGGACCTCTTAGTTGATTTTATTGAAAATTCAGATGATGATTCTAATTATATAGAAGATAATAATGAAAATAACATATTATTTAGTTTTTCAAAAGACCAACCTCTTACATCATTATCTTATGACTCATTTGATTTTAATGAATTTTATGGACCTAATGTGTTAGTAGACATTAAATCACCAATGCAAAACTTTGATATATATTTTTCTGATTTTTATCAATATATTGTTGACCAATCTAACTTGTACTCAAACCAATGTGGCAAAAATTTAAATTTATCTATTATTGAATTTAAAGCTTTTTTGGGTATTCTTATAATAATGGGGTTTCATAGATTACCAAGTTTACGCCTTTATTGGAGTGCAAATGAAAATTTTTATAATCACCGAATATCAAACATTATGACCCAAAAAAGATTTTTAAATATATTACGATATTTACACTTAAACGATAATAGTAAAATGCCTAAAAGGGAAAGTTCTACATTTGATAAATTGTACAAAATTCGTCCAATGATAGACCATTTAAATAATGTTTATTGTACAAGTTTTTCTCCTGATAGGATTTAAGTTGTGATGAGAGTATGGTTGGATTTAAAGGGCGGTCTGGAATTAAGCAATATATGCCAATGAAACCAGTAAAAAGAGGATTTAAGATATGGGCTATATGTTGTGCAATAACTGGTTACTTACTTAAATTTATTATATATGAAGGAAAAAAAGATTCTAAGGAAAAAGGATCTCTAGGTGAAAAGACAGTACTGGAAATGACTAATAACTATCAAGATAAAGGATATTGTGTATTTTTTGACAGATTTTTTTCCAGCATAAATCTTGTTTCAGAATTACTAAAAAGAAAAATATTTGCTTGTGGAACTATGTTACAAAATAGAAAATATTTTCCTAAAACTTTATTGAAAGCAGATAAATCTCTTAGTATGGGTGATTATGATTTTGCTTCATCAGGAGAAATTTCAGTATATAAGTGGATGGACAGAGGGAAAAAACCTGTAGTTGTAGTATCATCTATTCATAAGGGAGAAGATATTACAGTGGTTAAGAGAAAAAAATAATGTTGGTATTAGAGAAGATGTTAAATGTCCTAAAAGTATTGCTGACTATAATAAGTATATGGGCGGAGTTGATCATTTTGATCAACTACTAGAATGCTACAATATAACTTGGAAGTCTCGAAGATGGTGGATGAAGCTCTTTTATTATTTTTGTGATGCCACTATTGTTAATTCATATATAATGTATACTACAACTGTTAAACTAACCTCAAACAGAGAGAAACCTTTGACTCATTTAATGTATCGTTCTTTATTAGCTGATGAGTTAATTGGGCAATTTTGTAACAGAAAAGCTTTTTTACCTAAAAAAGTTATCCCTTCAACTAAAAGAAAGCCCACAGATGTTGGAAGGGGCCGTATTATATTAGCAGGAAATAAAAGCAGACTCCAAAATGTGGGTAATCACATGCCTATTGCTGGAAAATATAACCGCTGTAGGCTTTGTAGTACTAAAAAAAATGTCAAAAGATCAAAAATCCACTGCCAGGAATGTGAGGTTGCTCTTTGCTTGGATTGTTTTTTGCCTTTTCATTCACAATAAAATTTCTAGTTTCTACACCAGTCAATTATGAATAAAAATTTGAATTTTTTTAGTATTATTTATTTTGTAAAAGATTATAGAATGTAATTCTAAAAAGTATATAATTTTTATAAGTCTGAAAAATTGTTATAATGTTATTTGAATTTTTTTAGTTTTATTTATTTTGTAAAAGTTTATAGAATGTAATTCTAAAAAGTATATAATTTTTATAAGTCTGAAAAATTGTTATAATGTTATTTGAATTTTTTTAGTATTATTTATTTTGTAAAAGTATATAGAATGTAATTCTAAAAAGTATATAATTTTTATAAGTCTGAAAAATTGTTATAATGTTATTTTATTCAAGAAGTGATGATTTTATTTTATATTTTTTTCAAAAGTCTGAAAAATTGTTATAATGTTATTTTATTTAAGAAGTGATGTTTTTATTTTATATTTTTTCAAAAGTCTGAAAAATTGTTATCATGTTATTTTATTCAAGAAGTGATGTATTTTTTTTTTATATTTTTTCATAATACAGAAATTTGATATTAGGTTGTTGTTTTATTTGAATTTTTCAAAATGTTGTTTTAAAATCAAATGATTTTTTTTTTTAAATATATTTTGGAATTATTTTATTATTATTTTTATTAGTTGAGTATTTTTCATGCAAAAACTGTGATTGAATTATATTTTATAGTAATTTAATTTTTCTAAATGTATGCTATAGGTATGAAAAAAAGTTAAAAGATCCTAATAATTCTAAGTCCAGTAAAGTTCATATTCCATTATAGTTTGGTGGCACATATTTCAGCCACCACCCACAGGGCAAGATTTGGATGATACATCAATGTTCCCTTAAACAAAAATGTTACAAACAAGTAGTAGAATGGTAATAGTTAGCTAATTTGATGTTATCAAAAAAAAAATAGTTCTGCCCATGCACTGTCATTTTACAAGTGGCTTCTATAAATGCCACAGTTGCATTCATTTGTGATTCATTAATATTATGCTGCCCATCTACCGTACAAACATAAGTGGCTTCTAGAACAACCACTAACCTATAAAGGGTTAAGCAGCTTATTTCTGGCGGTACCTGATGGGTGAACATTTTATTCAGAATACACGTTGAAGGCATTATGTCGTCATTTATTTTTCCATAGCAATAGTTGCATATCCATTTACGGTCGTTTTCCGGTACTAATATTTGAAGATCCTTCCAAATTTGTTTTTCGATGATATTCGTTTTTTGTTTTTCAATTGCGTTAACGTTACGCTTGAAGCACAATGTTTCGCACGAGCAGCACGAATATTTCGGCAAATCAGAAGCTCTTTTTTCGAAAAGTTCGATAGTTTTTTTAAAGTCTTCAGTCAGTTTATCTTCCGCAAGATCGGAATGTACTGCATCGCTGGGAAATGAAATGGCTTTTGCTTGAGTGTCTTCCGCCAATTTTTTTAAAAAGGCTACGTCACCTTGTTCAAGAGCTTCGTCAACCCTCGACAGATGTGTGTATAGTCGCCGAATCTCGTACAACTGACGCTTAATATTTCTAAGTTCCGGAAAATGGCTTGACAATTTAAGCAATGGCAATATTCTTGCACCACATTGAAATTCATTTAAATAACATTCTTTAGAATGGCCGTTTCTCTCGTCACGGTTTGGATTAGTGCAGGTGAATAGTTCGTCCAAGAAATCAGACAACGTTCCCAACGTACTTTCATATATGCGCAAATAACAATTTTCTAAACCATTTGAAATGAAGGGGTCGTATTTTTTTCCGGCAGGTATCATGACATGGAAATTGTTTACCTACAATTTTGTTTTTATTAAAATTATTCACAGACGGCTGATTAAACGAGTTTGCTGGAAGTTGTTTCGGTACTTGAAGATCAAGTTGCATTGGTTCATCAGTCACCAAATTATCCTCAACCTCCATGTGCTCTGCATTCAATCCAATTTCGTTAAAGAAAGGCTGACTGTTATGCGTATGAAGACTTTTTCCGCAGAGTGCCTCAACATATGTTTCAACGTTTGATTTAGGAATGAGTTGCGATTTTACCAAAGCAACTGTAACGATATTTTTATATTTCACTTGAAACGTCCACTTAAGTTGGTTGATTGTTTTTTTTTTATTGTAAAATACCCACTTGATTATCTTCTGAGATTTCAATCGATTGTTTTAATGATCAGGCTGATCGTCATGTAAATTGTGTAACTTATCTAATACTATTTGAACGTATTTGTGTTGCATGAATATTTCTTTCTGGTAGTCGTAGTAGACGATTTTTTTCTTATTTTTCTTGTTGGTGTTTTTTTCTTTAGTGATTTCAAAATAGTCTGCATCTTTGAGACCAGTCTGCTGTTCGCCATTTATCTGATCGACGTGGACATGTTCATGGTCTTCATTAGCCGGCTGTTGTGATTGTAATTGACAGCACTCATACGCATGAATGTTAAAGGCGATTTCTTGTTGTTTATAAATTGATGATACATTTTCTAAGGTCTTGGTTCTAAGTATGTTTAGTAGATGTTTTCTCGTTTGAGATCTTTCATAGAATAGGTGCTGCGGATCATATCCGAATATAAGACTAACTTGAAATGCGATGGCGAAAACTCCACAATCATCGCTATAAAGTTGTTGTTGTACAGACGGACAGGTTACGTTCGGATTATATTGTTCTATATAACACGAAGGATGTAAAGATCGAAGGAACTTCTCTTGTAGCTCATTCAAGTTGCCGTTGAATTTTGAATCATATAAAGATATATTGTTGTTTTCGTATTTATAACATATCCAGTGATTTGAGCCGTGCAAGATTTGGAAATGTTTAGATTCTCGTGCAACCGTAATATTTTTGTACTGTTCTAGGCTTTGTATTACGACGGTATCAACTGGTTCATAAAATGTAAATTTCCGCACCAGATAATTAACACAGTACATATGATCGTCGTTCAACCAATCGCCGGTGGTAATAAGACTTTCATCAAAATGGTAAATTGATGGATCATTCAACTTTTTAAATTCAAACGGGAAATGTTTTATAACTTTGTTCTCTAGCATATGATCGAAATGTTTTTCGAGGCCTTGTTTGTATAAAATGTTGTCAGGCTTGAAATTGTAAAATAAACTCGTGGCAATAGAAATCGCATTAAGGGCCGAATCTTTCGAGGGATCGCATTCCACGTAAGGGCAATGTATAATTTTCTGGTTCCCCGTATGTTTAGGAAATAATAATCGTAATAAACCAATACTTTTATCATATGTATCAGGTCTGTTGAGTGGGTCGTAAATAAATATAGATTGTAGGTTGTAAAAAACGCATACCCAGTGCCAGAAGTTTGAAGTTCGCGATATCAGTAAAAATTCTACTCTACTTTTACTTTCGTCTAATGCTTGCAAATTACTGCTGTGTGGCTGCAAAATTTGATGAATGGGGCAAAATTCATAATTCAAAACTTGTCTAATTAAGTTTTGAAATTGAACAATTTTCAACTGTAAATGGTTAGACATTTTTTCAGTTGCATATGCTTCTCGTCTTTTTTTATTTTTGAGCACCAGCTGTTGATGAAGTTTTTCGTTGTTATCGAATTTGAACTTAGCATAAGCTTCTCGCCTTTTTTTATTCTTGAGCGCATTGTCTTGTCTCACTTTTTCGGCGTTTTCTGCTTGAAAATCTGCACAGATTTCTCGCCTTTTGAGATGTGTGGGTTCCATACACTGTTCGGCTATTTTTTTTAGCAGGAAACTGAGTAATTACCTCAGTTATAAATATGTTGGCAAGATGAAGGTTAGGTTATAGATTTAAAAACACTACTAAACAGGAAACAGCTCACAATTGTCAAAATAAAATATAAATGTTTATAATTATATAATATCGTAATATATAATATAATTATATAATATAATATATAATTATTAATTATAAATATATATTAATAATACAATTATTTAATAATAATTATTATTATTATAGTATTAAAATAGTAATAATAGGTACATATTTACATAGGAAAATGTAGCAAAATTTTCAAATCGTAGTATGTTCCACGGCGTCCGCAGAGTGAATAGAATAGAATAGACATAGAATAGAATAGAATAGAACACTATAAAAAAAAAATAGCTAGCTGTTGTATTGTGTGATGTTGGTACGGTAGCGGCCGGCGTGTGGCGGTTGCTACGGCGCGGCGTTGGAAGGGGAAGTTTGGGCGGCCGTGACGTTGCTATGACGGACGAAAGAAAAAGACTCACAAAATTGCAGTTTTTAGCTCTGTCTCTCTCGCACTCTGCATTCAACCAACGCGTGCGAGTGAGAGGTCCGAGCACCGAAACGAAACTTAATGTATAATAGTCTCGCTATCGGTTGTCCAGGTGCTGTTTGTTATCGGTGTTACTATGCACAGAAAGGAGTCTCTAGCGAGACTCTTCGATATTGCGATTGCCAATAACACATTTTATATTGTCAGGAACAAAATAATTTAAAAATACATACCATATATAAATATTAAGTAGATTGCAGTGATTGCACAGAATATTGAGAATACCAAAGCCCAAACGAATAAAAGATGGAGACTTTAGTATAAAGGAACACTTTATTAAACAATATCACGGAGCACGGACGTATTAGTTGGAGCAAACGCAGCGTAATTAATATTTAATAGTCGCCGTAATAGTTAGTAAATATACGCCGCCCGTCATCGAAGTAAAAATAGGTTTTGTTGACGACTGATGACTGACGGGTTTCGGGGTGTCTCTGGATTTCCCATAGAATAATTTCCTGATATGTACAATATACAACACAGATAAAGTCATCGCTACAACTATAGTATATTATACTATATTATAAAGGTCTTGAACTTGACAGCCGTTGATGCGGGCTGACCACATTTATTTACGCAGAGGCAAATTCATTATTGCCTATTGGTATCATAATATTGTATGAAAACTATTCATATTATACTTCGTAAAGGAGATTTTTTTCTCCAGATAAAATCATAAATAAGTTAAAAATTACTAACGAAATATGTGCTATCGGTGAGCCAAAAAGTAAACATTTTGAGTATTATTTACTACAATATTTTAAGTGAGCCGCCGCCTCACTTGCCTCACCACCAAAACTGCCACTGCAGTTTTTTAAATTAAAAATTGATGCCCCTTTAAATTTGATGCCCGGGGCGATTGCCCCCTCTCGACCCCCCCCCTAAATACGCCACTGCCTGTGGACGCGCGTTTTAGACAAGACACATGTATTGCGGTTGTTGGTCGGTTAGAAAGACTCCTTTACCTATACCTGCTTCTCTAGCCTTACCGGTCCCCACCACTTTGGTGCGAACCCGGCATGAAAATCTTTATGTGCCTTAGATAGGTGGTGTGCTTTGTAGTAGACTACGTCGCCCTTGCCGAACTTCACCGATGTGCCGGTGTTCGTGCTCGGCTTTACCACTACCTTTTGCCTATAATACGTTTTTCCCGCTCTACCCTCTCTTCCTGTGATTTTTCGATATGTACCGGTGCAATTTTAGATAGCTCCCAATCTCCGGGTCTCATGCATTCCCTGCCTAGGACAAGGACCGCGGGTGGGTAGCATGTCTGTTCGTTGCACCTGTTCCGTATCGAAAAAAGAATTGAGGGTAATTTTGTGTCCCAAGATTTATGTTTGCCGTCGACTAGTTGTGCGCACAAACCTTTTTTTAAATCTTGATTACAACGTTCGACAGGGTTGGCCCTCCGGTGGTAGACTGGAGTCGTCCAACCCTGTGCCCCCCAGCGTTCTAATGCGTTTATAATTTCGTTTGACACAAACTGTGGGCCGTTATCACTGTGACACACGCGGGGGTAACCGAAACGCGAAAAGAACTCGCGCTCTAACGTTTCGATTATTGTTTTAGAGTTCCTAAGGGGTAAGCCTCGGTCCACCTACTAAAGCAGTCGGTTGCTACCAGTATGTACGATTTTCCCTTACCGGAACGTGGGTATGGGCCCAATAAATCGACACTGATGACTTCCCATGGTTGCCGGGGGGTTCTTGGTTGCATTGGGTCGGTGGGACGTGTGTTTAACGTGTTGTAATTTTGTTTTCGGTATCACGATGGATGTGTGGGGGCCTACGTTTACGCGTAAGAGACCGTCGGAAAAAACATTTTCAGGATTTTGTGCTCCTAGTGTTCCGCGTTGGTCCATCCCACTTATGACCGGCGACTATGTCGCGAATCGTGGCGTCTTCGGACTGCCACTTTTCGAGCGTTGACGCGGTGAATGGTGTCAATGGTGAAATGTGTCGTCACTGACGTGGTTATCGAACATGGAGAAGATGCGAGCCGACTCGGGGTCAACATTGGTTGTCGGCGTTACAGGTGCCCCTACCAATTTTTCCTCGAGTCGATCGAGATCGATCGAGAGATCTTCGTCTACGGGTGTGCCCGGTGCCGGATCGCGGGATAACAAATCGGGTGCTTCGTTTTGTATTCCCGGGACGTGTACCGTAATAAAATCTAAATTAGCTAGTTGTAGTGACCAACGTGTTAATTTTGAATTTTTGTCTTTAGCCCTGTGTAACCATGTCAGTGCCGAGTTGTCTGTTAGGAGTTCGAAACGTCGGGTTTCTAGGTATGGACGGAATTTGTCTGTTGCCCAGATTATTGCTAGGCACTTTAAAAATTTAAAAGTATAAAAATGGGTGAGAACGTACCACCTGTAACACGAACTGATCGAATGCAACTACAAACATTTGAATTCTTCAGAGAGTTGAAAAACGAATTAATTGAATCGAAAAATCATACACAGATAATGCGAGGGGAAGTAGTCAGATTACATTGTTTTCCGGAACATATAAGAAGGGCAAACGATAACATGACAATACCCTTCAGGCCAAATGTCTTAGCACGGGTTATGATTCATGTTAATGACTTTGTACGCACGGTTATCGTACAACCAAACCATAACAGACCCATGTGTGTAGAGTTGGGATTGCTATTAGAACAGTTAATCACAAGGCGCGTGATCATCGAAACGATTTTCGAAGAATAAGCCTCAGGGAAACGTATATTATATACATAGCAATAAATACTAAGGAATTAATTAATTTTAAATAATATAAACATTTTATTTTAGCTCACAGATACGCTTTTTTATAATGGACTTCGAGTTCTTTACCGTCAGTAAGAACGAAACATTACTGGTATCCGGCGCAATATCAAATAGTTTAGAAAAGTACCAACCCAAGAAATTGGAGGGGAGTCCTCTTATACTTACAAAAGATGATAAGTTAAGAAGATTCCGCCGATGCGACCTTAAGAATATAGTGCAGAATATCAAACGAGTATTCCGAGGGAAAAAGGCAAGAGTGATTGAACCGTTAGTGGAACAATTATACAAAAGTGTAAGTCACCAGGGGGAATCGACCTTGTCTACGGTATACTTGCAAAGATATTTGCACATAAACGATAGGGATTCGCTAGTAGTATTTTGGAACGGATCATCAGATATCACAATAATTAAGCGTTTAAGGTTAACAGGAATTTTAGCATATTTAAACATATCTGCAATTAGCATTAGGAATAATGATGATTTTATATTAGAATTAACAAACCTAGAGACTAAGGAAGTATTATATTCGGGCTATTTAGGTAAATTAAATAAAAATGGTAGAATGTTAGGATTGTCAGAAGCTCATGAACTAGCATGCGATATTAATCATAATATTACGCATTGTCATGACCCGGTTGCCGACGTAATTTTAACAAAATGCCTATTCAATTATATAGTAACAAATATAAAGCCCATTCAATTATATAAATTAGCAAAAAAATATAAAAGGAATTTTAAGGCAAAATAAATAATAATTATTAGTTAATAAATAAATATAACACAAAATAAATTAAATAATGAAAACAAATACATTAATTAACATTTATTATATATTTTAGATTCATTGAGGTCTGAGGAGCTAAAAACCATTTTAAAAACAGAAGTACATATTTATAACGTTAAAGAAAATAAATTGCAATCCGTATGCTTTAATTGGCATATATTAAAGGCAAACAAAAAAATAAATAACCATTACGATCATAGAACTTTAAATAAAATAACTAGAAGCCTTGAACTTTTCATGGATGATTATTGTAATGGAGAGTGCAAGCAACTATACTCCGGCCCACGAGAGAGTATTACCGTTTTGCGCATGCAGACTGACGGCGGAGACCGTTCCGAGGCCCCATTTCCCCCACTATTTCCGCGACCGCTATACACCGTATAGCGTTAAGCGCTGCCGACCGGTACCGAACAGTTGTCGGCACATGCCGAGTAGTGGGGAATGCGCGGAATCGGACGAGTTTTCGTCGGGCGACGGTAATACTCTCTCGTGGGCCGGAGTATAGTAAAAATAATAGAAAACACTAGAGATCCAACTTACATAATGAATTACCTTAAGTAGAACCATGGTTGCATATGTCTATGGCAAATCTAACGATTATTCACATATATTAGTATATAGGTGGAAGATGATAATTTTATTATTATTATAAAAAGGGGGAAAATACTTAAATTTTATACTTACGTAACGCTTATAATGTTATAATTTCAGGTACATATATTATTTTGTTAAAAGATTATTAATCTTTCTTATTAACACTATTTATTTAATTAAATCATGTATTAATTTTATTTTATTAACCACAATATACAAATTGTAATATGAATAATAAAAAAAAAATAATAAT